ACAAGCTGAGATGCACAAGAGGAAATGTGTGGGGGGGAGTTGGTGGATGAGGAAGATGGAAAGGCGGCAGAAGGCAAGAAGAGGAAGACCAACAGTGCATTTCAGATAAAATACAAGCAGCTGTGAAAGATCATGTCCTTGGTAAACAGGACAACCCAACATAAAGAAACTTCGTGCTCACGACACTCAGATTGAAAAACTGGGTTTTGTGTTCACAGATTTCAGAACTGCAACTGTGAAAAACTGTAAAAACACTAAAGGCGCATGTCATCAAATAATACAGTCAGTGTTTCTTATAGAAACACGAAAAGACCAGAAGCTAAAATAACAAAATCCACTGACTACAGCAATGTGACTGAAAGAGTACGTCATGGTAGCAAAAGCAGAAGCTGACCACAAGGAACTGGTCCAGTTGTGAGCGGTAGGCACACAAACCTGTCCAGAGACTTACGCAATTCCTCTGAGTCAACAAACAAACTGCAATGATGCAGACAGAAACAGAAGGTAAGCCGGAAAAGGTGAAGCACTGGCACAGAAATGAAGAGCTGTGCCTGGTGGTGAAACTGGTGGTTAGTGTCCAGATAACATGACATACCACCTCCATTACAGAGGCCTGCTGCTCTAATAGCGTAATGGGAAAGCTGAGTAGAAAGGCTCACTCTCTACTGCTGTTTGTCAAATGAAAAAGGCAAAGTGTGTAATTATATTTTAATATGTAAACTGCAATCAGATAAACATATACAAACACTGCTATTAGTTACAGGTAACAATACCACAGTAATATCAACATGACTTGTCCTTAACTGATGTCATTGATGTGTGTTTCATTAATGGAGACAGCCTATGACAACCCAACAAAACAAAATATGGCAATATTACTTTGAGCTGTAGATTTTCTATTGTTAGCTAATGAACAAAATCGCCATTAAATTCCAGTAAATGTCTGAAATCAGTTACCGAAACAACCTCAGCAATTATATATTATACAGCATATGCATAATATGTTTGAGAAACTAGCAAAAAAAGAAACAAAATAGCAGCAAAATGTGTAAATGTTGACCTACAGTAAGCTACAAAGGCTTTCCATTTACGGGTTTAAGAGTCCCAACCATAAACTGTACATAAAAGATGGATGTCACCGACATGATGTCACCACTCGTTTCTCATTTCACTTTCTAAAGCCTTAAATTGAACTTTTGGTTGCCGCTATGTTGCTTTCATGGAGGCATACTTGGCCATATTTGAATAAGAAAGTTAATGCTAGCAAGGCTTGGTTAGGCTTGGCAAAATGTATTAATAAACTGTATGTATGCAACAGAGCAACACACACACATACACCGGTATTTGCTCTTTAACTAATAAAACATGAGAATTTCTCTTACAATAAGTGGTTGAGAGGTCCAGTTCACTAACTCTAAATTAGCAGAGGTGAGGCCTAGCAGTGATCAGCTGTCAGTTAAAGCTGTAATGTCCATTAGCTAAAATCTTGCCACTACCTCAGCCATTTTTTTTTTTTACATCTGGATGTATTTTAACAAGGGATTCGCTTTCAGAGCCCTCAAGTGGGCATTCAGTGAACTGCAGTTTTCTAGCACTTCCAAGTTACTACTCAGCCTAAGAGGTTATGTCTTAGATTAGATTAGATTAGATAAAACTTTATTATTCCTCGGGTGGGTTCCTCCGGGAAATTCGGTTTCCAATAGCACAGCACTGACAGAAGCTACAGAATGTGAGCAGAAATATATACATATATAAATACAGATATATACATAAATACTCTGTATTTATATATGTCTTCATTCAAAACCAAGAATATGTCACAAAATTTAGACATCTCATCATTTTACAGTCTATATTGTAAAGTACAGTGTTTTTATTGAGACCCACTATAGCCATTGCATATTGCACTATGAAACTTGGCTAGCTATTCGCCTGTACAAAATAAACAAGCTAAAGAATAAGCCATTTTTTATTGTTTCAAAACTCTAATTTTTATGTACAAAACAAAGATTGTTTTATATTTTTGTTTGAAAAGTTAGTGTTACTTTTTAAGCATATGCGCTTTAATTTCAGAACAAAAGCACCTTCTTCCTGTTTTTGGTTATAAATGGAGTTTTTTTTCTTTTATGTATTAGCAATGGTAAAATCAAAAGTGTAGAGTACTACGTGTAGTGTGGTTAAGTTCTACTTTAGTATTATTTATAATCAATATATGAGACTTGCTGGCACATTCAATTTCTTTGCTCCACCTTGAAGGGTTTTTCTCTCAAAAGCAAATAAAATTGCAGTGACCTAAATCCTTTATATTCATTCTCTGAGTTCTGTGAGGTCTGTGGGGCAAAGCAAGATCTTAGTCTGAAAGGACTTTCCAAGTTCCCCATGAGGCTCATGGGAAATTCTATAGCATGTCTGGCTTCTGAACAGGAAACCAAGCCCACAGACGAGGGAAAAAGACATAAAGAAAGTGTCGCTCCTTGTATATTTAAATATGGGAGAAAGGGGAGAGGCTAAATGTGTGAATTATGTCATTGTGTCAAGAGTGTGACTCCATGTCTTGAAATAAATAAATCACATACGCAAAATATCCACAGTTCATTTCTCATTATGTATTTAACAGAGATGATTAGCATCAGTCCAGTTATTTCTATGCAGCAATCACGGTAAATGGTTGGAAACTGTTAGTCAGGCTATTGTGTAACAAAGCACTAAAACCGTTTGTCCACCAGGTTAACACTTAGTTTGACCCCAGGAACACATTACTGACTTTACAACTTTACTGTAAGAGCAATTTGGCTACTGTGGCCGATTTGAACCCTTACAGAGATGTCTGTAAAAACTAGAACAGACAGCAGTTTAGGCTTCAGACCTCCTGTCTGAACCTCAGACCAACCGAAGCTGTCCAGATAGTATCATGTTTAATTTGCATATATGGAATAAAGACAACTTGTATGTGTGTGTGTGTGTGTGTGTGTGTGTGTGTGAGAGAGAGAGAGAGAGAGAGAGAGAGAGAGAGTCTGACCTGGTAAAAGAGAAAATCTGAGCTATGAGCAGCTTGTGTGTAAAATTTAAAAAAAAGACATGGATATTATATTTAATTTAAGTTTCATCTCATAGGCGATTTTGGACCCTTTTAAAAACAGCGTATTTTAGTATTATTTTCTTCAAATGGTATATTTTCCTAACTTGTCTATTTTAACAACAGTACAGGTTTAACTCCAGTGTTGTTGATGTCATGATGTTACAGTGCGCTCACACAGAGGCCTTCGCTGCTGCTGCAGCAGAAAGAAGATGAAGAGGTAATTTAAAATCACAAATCAGTGATGCAGACTTAAAACACGCTTTAACTGAAATCTAGCAAAAGTTCAAACTGTTTGGATAATGTGGGGACTGATTGCTGTAACATATAAAGTGTCAGCTTGTTTGTATTTGTTGTCTAAATATAGTCAAAAATGTTAGCTGATGTAGCTTAGCTTATTAGCTGATTTTAACCTTCTTTTTTTTCCTGAGCTGTGATACACTTCTAGCCAATCACTTTACGTTTCCGAGGATAGTAGACGGGCCCAGGCACGTACGTTCTTTTAGAGCAGAGCTACAGATTAAAAATGTCCAAGGCGAAGCGGTCAAAGTCTGGCTGTACTTCACAGCAAAATATGCAAACTCAGCAGCAACAAGTGCTTTAAGCTGATACTGTGATACTGTCAAAGGAAGTAACACCTCAAATCTGATGAAACACCTGGCGACGCATAGCGTTTTTTTTAAAAGCCCAGAAATGCGCCGTATTTGATAGCTTGCTGCGAGACCTCACACCGAGCACCTCTACTGCGGGTGGGTTGCCTGTTATGCAACATCCCCCAAAAACACGAAGAGCAGAGTCCTGGCCCCTAGCCCTGCCAGTGTAGCAGAAATGATGAGGATGATGATGCAGCAGCAGCCGTTCTTCTCTGCGTGAGTAGCTTAATGTTGTTCGTGTGTAATTTACGTTGAGTAGGCTAACCACGTTATTACATTAATGCATGTAAGGTGAACTAGCAAACATCATCATAGCTACATGCGGCTGTCTTCTTGTTTGATGGCAGATGCTCCCTTCACCCTGGCCAAAAAGGCTAAAATGACCAAAGAAAAAGTGGAAAACAGTTAAACATGAGAGGTTTCTGGACAAAGTTTGTGTTTTTTCCATTGTTTAAGCACTGCTTCCAGCCAAGAGTGATACCATATATGCCCCATAGCTGCAGAAAAGGCTAACATTGTTATCTTTTTACATAAAAACAGCTGAACATGAGAGGTTTTTGGACCAATTTTGTGTTCTCCATTCTTGGGGCGACCGTGGCTCAAGGGGTTGGGAATTGCATCTGTAACCGGAAGGTCGCCCGTGTCCTGGTCGTTGTGGGCAAGACACTTTACCGCCTACTGGTGTTGGCCAGAGGGGCCGATGGCGCGATATGGCAGCCTCGCTTCTGTCAGTCTGCCACAGGGCAGCTGTGGCTACAACCGTAGCTGCCTCCACCAGTGTATGAATGTGAGAGTGAATGAATAGTGGCATTGTAAAGCGCTATATAAATCCAATCCATTATTATTATTTGAGCACCGGCACCGTTTCAAAAGTACCGATTTGGTATCGGATAAAACCTAAACGATACCCATCCCTACAGGTGACAGCAGGTCAAAATGATTTTGATGTCTGGGAGCAGCCGGAATTTAATTTTGATAGTGCTTTAAACAGATACGGACCAGTTTACATCTTTTATTTGCTCATTTAACTTTTGGGTGACTGCATAAAGCCTGACAGAGGAGGATGGAGAGGGAAAAGAAGGGAGAGCCTTGCCTCGGGTTTCATAACTAAAGGCTCCGCCCTAAAATGGGTGGATTAGATTGAAATCTCTGATTATTCCCTCTGAATTATTCTTAGACACAAATATAGGTCATCCAACTAATTAGGTTTCTTTTGTAAAGGGTTGATAACATTAGTAAACAGCATTATTCAAATCGTAAAGGAGACTCACCTTTCCCATGCCGACGTGGGCGTGGCCCATCTTCACAACCACAGGGAAGGATGGACTTGTGAGCTGTAAAAAAACAAAACAGTGGGGTTTCACAACAACCGTATAATTCAAAATGATCAATACAGTGTCAACGATGCATATATGATAATATCATAGTGTGTAACTGTTCTTTCTGTCTGCCTCTGCATCTCGTTTGCGTCTGACCACCAAGCTCTCAGGACTCAACAAAGACAGAAGCAAAGTCATTTGTTACCATTACTGCTATAATTGTTTCATAGATACTACAATAACATAGTTATTTTACATTATTTTGACCACAATAATTTGATGTGTGATATAATGTGATGTGAAAATCAGATATCTTCGCACCCAGTCATCACGTTACGGATCTTTTCGCAGCTCTCGCTTCACTTACTGCGGCACAACAAACCATGTGAGAAGATTTTGTCTGCTTATTGCAGAAGAAAAAAAGTAAATCCAGGGTGAACGTCTGTGGTGTTCAAACAATACCTGACTACGGGAAGGCGTTTACTGCAGCTCACACTTCAAACTGATTCATCTAGCACTTTAAAACAACAGAACTGAGCAGTGCTGCACATTAAAATGACAGAAGTACGACTGAAGCCATCTCCTGCAAAGGGTCTTGGTGTGATTGTTTAGCACCCGAGTGCAATTACCGTGTTTTGATCTGCAAATAAGACCCGAAAAGAAATGTAAAAATGTATCCGCTTTTGATTTACGGCCTGAAAATGGTCTAAAAAGCGCAGCAGTGAAAACATCCAAGGACTTGGATGTTACGCCAGTGATAAAGTCAAAGGTCAAATACATATTTTCTTTTTCAGTAGTCTGCTTAATGTTCCATGACCTTTTACACAGTCACTGTAACATAACAATCACATACTGTATCATCACCAAATACAGCTGCTATGCTTCTGGCAGCAGCATTTATGATTTATGAGAAAATATTTAGCTCTTTAACATCTGAAATGTATTCTTGTCTAGTTCTACGGATCTACTGAGTGTCATTATTGAAATCTGTCAACACAAACAACAACTCTGACATATATTTTCTTGCTTTTTTATGTAAATTCCTGATATAATATATAAGAGTAAGATCGGGGAGTGTCCAAAAGGCTTGAAAAAGAACAGAACTGCACTTTGAACTCTCCCTTTTTATATATACAGTAAGACAGACGTGTGGTAAACGCCACACTGAGACACAACTCAAAGCAGACAGCTATTTCCTTTGCAACTGTCTTGGATGTATACATCCAGTGTCCAGATCCGTCTTGTAAAATAACGCCCTGGCTCCTACTGAACCTAAAGCTGCTCAGTTTAGGAAGGATGAGGAGGAGACAGAAGAATGTGTGGGTTTATTACACAAAACTGCAACGTTTTGGGAAGCTGGAGGGAAGACCACAGCTCAATGGAATGGGCTTGGACAAACCCGACAGACCGCAAACACACTCTTTCTCATAGTTTACGCAACTGCAATGGATGAAATATCAACACATTACTTCAAACGTGGTTTAAACGCCCTTGATCAATTTGCTGATATGATTGTAAACGGGATGCAGTCTGAGGAGGGACTTTTCCAGTTTCATGAGCACTTTTCCCACTCTTGCGTGAAATAGCTCTCAGGCAGCAACGCCTAGTTAGACGAGAGGTCTGAAGGTCGTTTACAGCGGCTGTAATAAAGAATAACATTATTTGAATTTTTCAATTTATAAAAAAACTCAGAAACATACAATTCTATTCAAAGCCAAGTTTTCAATATTCAAAAAGCCTTCGTGCATTTTCCATTTTCACAAACGCATCTAGATAAGTACTGTGTGCACTGTGCTTATCGATGTGAATACCTGCAGGTGAAGCTTAAATAAACACTAAATGAAGATGCTGAGGGCACGGGCACCAGGCCAGATCATACCCTGAAATGTAAGATCAGGCCTGCCAGGAGGAAGGATACGCCCAAACAGCTGCTATCATTTGATCCAGGGCCTCCCTGGCAGTCATGTGACTGCACACCCTAATGCTGCTGTCAACTCGTTTCGAGGCTTGAACGGACACGGAGCTGCTCGAGGCTGTGACCGCCGCTTCTGCTGACAGGTTTTGACAGTGCAGGCCTGTCTGACACACTGCCAAGATAAAGTGTACTCTAACTGACGCCATTATCACTTTACAAGTGCCAGAATAAAGGAGGGAGGCAAGGCTGCAGAATGAGGTTCTCTTTCTAATGTCCAAGTACTTAACTTAACTAGGTATGAAGCATTACGTAAGGGAGGAGGAATAAATATGCAAACTGGAAAGATGTAGATGTAAAAAGTCAAATGTAACACAGCAATACAGTATATAAAAGCCTATATCTGTGCCTTAGAGTCATGGACTGAAATGTAACTATGGTAACAAGGTTTAAGTCATCATCCTCCTCATTTTCATGAAATCAAATCTTGCTTTTGCCTCTTTTTTTTTAATAAATAGTTGTGAAATCCATCAATATCGCACAGATTTCAAACTGCCTTCAAAGCATAGGCTGTATATAAAAGATGGATGGTGCCTCCAGGACTGAAAAGTAAAAGTGCTTCTAAACCTGTGTTACTTCCAGTCACCTCGTCTAGCCATAAAAAGTCCAAGGAGCTCGGAAGGAAAGAAACTGGACTTCTTCAGGTTTACATCTAAAAGATAAATATAATGTCTCACTTCATTTATGACAACAGTAAACTGTCCTGAGTCGTGTGACCCAGTGTTTTGAATTTTCCCTGTATTCCGACATTGTTTATGTTTAAGTTCATTTAGTCATCTTAAGCTCCAAGGTTGCTCAGTTTTAGTTCTTTGTGTATTCGATGCCTTTGTGTCATCACTCCTGTGTTCAAGTCTCCCTTGTTGGTTCGTGTGTCTTTAACCTGTCATGTGTCATGTCTGCATCCCATTATGTTCCTGTTTTACTTTGAAAGTCTTGTTTCTATGTTCTATGCTTAGTGTTACTGATGATGTCATTCTAGTCAGCTGTTTTCCCCATGTGTTTCCACTTCCCCCGATCACTTCCTGTGTGTATTTAGTCTGTGTTTTCTTTCAGTCTTTGTTTGCATGTCTAGCGACATCATGTCTCAGAGTTCTTCGTACTGATCAGGTTCATGTTCGGTTTATTTCATAGTTCCATAGTGACACGTACCTGTCCGGTTTCATGTCCATGTCTCTGGTTTCCCAGGTTAGTTTCAGGTTAGGGTTGGCCCTGTTCGCTCTTGCTTTGTTTTTGTGTTCACAAACGGCTCGCCTTTTGTTTAGAACTCAGTTTCATCTCCTACCGTGTCTGCATTTGGGTCCTACTATTCACTCAAACACACAGTCAGCTCCCACTGACCGTGACATAAACAACTTTCCTTATAGGCTTAAAGTTTATTTGGATAATTTCAAATCTTATCAGATACGAGATGTTTGTTTTTTTTATTTTTAAATTTGGTTACATTCAGAGCAAAACAGAAGACAAAATACTAAAACAGTTCGTGCTCTGGGGTACGGTTACATCAAGACTGATGTGTTTACGGGTTCAGGAAAGAAATTTAGTTTTTAAGCTTTTTTTGCAGCACTCGCTAAAACTGGCTTTCAGATTAAAATACACCTTACTCTATCCAAGCTAGGTAGCATTTCATTGTCACTCCTCCCATCTGAACATGCTCATGTCCTGCGATGGCAATGGTCATCTTCTATATACAGTCTATGATTGACACCCACATTAAATCCTGCTGATTACAAACCCCATTTGGGAACCTGCGACTATCAAGATCAGTTAATATCAGAGCTTTATTGTGTGATTTCGAAGCACCTTATTGTGTAAAGCCAGTAAAGCCACCACTTTAGTTTTGTGCAAAAGCGTTGCATATCCCTAAATTACACAACAGCACATCTGAGACCATAACATAACTGAAAAGTGTTCGCACTACACTGAGCTGGAATGAATTTCTTGTGTTGTTTAAATTCCACTTATGCTTCTATCTGGCCAAGGATCTTTCTGCTTATCTTGCAAATCTACTGCTGCACAACTCAACACCTCCACATCCTTCAACAAGATTCAACAAGTTGTTCTAATGCATAATTTATCCTAACTCTCTTAATTAGCAGAAGCGGAGCTGACATCTAAATCAGACCTGTGTTTTCTCGTTGTTTTAAAGACTGTGGGAAGTAGGAGAGCAGTCAGGAGTTCCAAACTTGTACAGCGGTTACATGTGTGCGTCACATGACAAATGATAAGATGCCTGAGGTTCAACAAGTGTCTGAGAAGAGCCCAGCAGTAGCAGTAGAGTGTGGGTGTCTATTTATCTTCTGTTCAGGGTGGAAAGGGCTGCAGCCACCCACTCTGTCTGGACACATTGCTTCCAGTCATTCCCATTTGCATGACGATGACGGCAGACATGTCAAGAAGAGAAGACCACATCCTGTGCTTCCCAACAAACTGACGAGGCCTCGCTATTATCTCCTTGTTTCTTCACTGACCACAAAAACAGCTCAGCTGAAATTACAACATCAGCTAGACAAAGATTAAGACTGATCGCCAAAACTATCAAATTTAGACATCCAGGAACTATTTGAAGAGTCATTTGTGACACCAAGGATGTCACTGTGTGTCATCTGTAGGGATAACATGACAGTGTGAAAGACGGTCTCAATATTTTACATTTCAAATCTTGCATTACATGCTTCTGGCAGGTTGGTGCAAAATACTTGGATTTCAACTTAAAAAGAAAAACGTGTGCTGAATTTACACAAAGTCCATGCTAGTTGCTGACCCGGTTTATAATATTTAAACTTCCTCTAGTTCTGCATTAACACCTTGATAAAATTAGATGTCAGTGGGGCTCCTGTGCTGCTGTGTTCAGGTCCAACAACTGATAAAGCTACACTAAAACTGCTAATAAATGCAGAACAGCAGAAACTCTTCCTGAAATGTCTGTAACAAGGAAAGAAGAAGTCTCACTGGATAGAGCTTGCTTCCCCGTTTTGTTTAGAACTGTTTTAATTCGTCAAATCAGAGATCCAGCAAGGCCGGAAACACTCTCACAGATTCTTGT